TGCATTTAATCGGCACTGACCTCGAGGTTTTGGCCTCTACTCTTGTCTTCCTCCAGCATAAAGACACAGAAGACAGTTTCCAGACGGGAGGTCGCGAGTGCTCGTTCTGTAAGTGAAGAGAGCTCAGGTTTAAGCATGAAACAAACAATTTCATTCACAAAATGTACTCTGCTGATACTTGCAGCGCTGCACTTTGGTTTTTATTAATCTCAAAAACAGTGAATGAACATGACAAAAGTACTGCAGCACTACTGGAGAAAATGAACCCGCTCCATTTCCATCTTCGAGCATCTGACTGGGCGGAGCAGGAGCGTGCCGTACAATAGCATTACTGAGTGATTCCACTTTATCTGATGGGATAGACCAGATGGATACATGAATATTCCCAATTAAAAGGTCTATTTTTGTACGCAGAATTACATAATGCTGAAAGTGACAGACAGTAAGTGGAATGTAATAACACTCATTACAGAGACCAATTCATATTCAAATGTTTTTATCTTAATGTTGCAGCTGTAGCTGTGCCTGTGTCGGGAGGAGATATAGTAAACAAAAAACAGACTGACAAGGACGGGACAGGCTTGTTATCACTACACCTTGAGAGCTGCTGTCACGCTTGCTGCAGCATCTAAAGGACACAGTCGATGCTTTATGAATTCAAGGGTGGTCATCTAAGCTGATAGCAGAATCCGTTATCAGAGAGCTAAAAATAGCCTGTCGGTAACCGTTGGCCTGAAATGGATATTTGAACCTGCCGTGTGCTGCTGCGCCTGCAGAGAAAATGGGAAATTTCACCCATACGTGATAAGAATGCACAAGTGAGGGAATGTGTTGTTGTCATGCTACATGATGTACTATTTTTGATGACAGGTGCTATCAGTCGGTCTGGGGGTGTTTTTCCAATGTTTGCACATGTTGCATGCGTGTGACAGAGTAGAGGAGAGAGAGAGCTCATGCATGCGTGCAGATTGATAGGGTGACTAAGGACATTGTTCAACAACACTGGTTTGATTCCTCTGAATTTGATCTTTTGCACAAAGTTATCCATGTGAACTGGAGCTGAAACAATTAGGTCGATTTTAATCAATTAATAGCAGTTATTTTTGATAACCTATCAATCGTTTGATACTTTTTCAAGAACAAAAAATTCCATTTGTGAAGATTTGCTGAGTCTATTGAGTCTATTTTTGACTGTTGACCAATCCAAACAAGCAATTTCAAGACCTCAACATGGGTTTTTAGGAAACCGTGCTGGGCATTTTTCACTATTTTCTAATATTTTTTATAGACCAAACAAGTAACTGATTAATTTACAATGAAAATAAAGGTTAGTTGCAGCCCTAATCTGAACCTTTCACATTTATGTTTATGTTTAATGCGACTCCAGTGCCCTCAATGAAGTAGGTTATTTACACAAGAATGATGCCTTCTGTTACGCTACAAATGATGGGTTGTGGAGGAAAGTTCTCCCTTGACTGATTGTTTTCGTTTGGATGTGGGGAGTATTCCCATCACACTGGCTTTTAAATCATCGGAAAGGCTGCCAGGTTTGAGTGACAGTGGCGCAGTGATGTACATGACCTCCTGCACTGCTGACACAGCTGCTTTTTAAGTGGGACCTAAAGCTGCATCTTACAAAGAGTCACTGTGCGAGAGGTCAACTGGTCAACAAAACAGACCTGTTAACTGAATTACACTTCATTCCACTGTAACTGAAAAACAGAAACAAGAGAAACAGATGTTAGTGTGAAGCTTGTCCTCTTGGGGGGAAAAAAAACAAAACAAACAAAAACAACATACGACAAGATGACTGTGGAACATTAAAGAGAAAGTTAAGACTCGTCTCCTTTTATTCCCTGGGAACACCATATATATACAAACATTACCCAGAATCAGTGTTTTTAAAAACATCTCATCATAATTTTACAGAGTGACGTATCTACAAATGTATAATCACAGTTTGAATATTCCACAAAACAGAGCGAGGGCGGGGGGGGTGGGGTGTCATTGCACGGCAAGAAGAAAACAGAAATATGACAAACTTCTAACTTCATGTCACATTTCGACACACACACACACACACACACACACACACACACACACACACACACACACACATAATTGAACACCATTTCTTCATATCCATATAGTGAAACATGAGGTTCTGTTCGTTTCATCCAAACGATGCTGCAGCATGGCTTCGTTTCAAGGCTGTGGAAACGTTTCAAATCTCGGATCAGCGCGATTCTTACAGGTGACTGCCGAATCAGACGAGGCGTATTAGCGTGCCTCAGAGAATTAGGAGGCATTCATTAGGGAAATCCCATGCGGCTGTTTTGCATAGGTTGTATTTTACTTCTGCACCAGAAACAAACAAAAAAAGAGAAAAAAAAAGAAAAACTGCTATGATTTTCACCTACTCAGCAGCAAGCAGCTTGTACAGGAACATCCAGAGGAATTTATTTTGAAAGAATCAAATGGCTTGATTGACAAAGAGAACTAATTGTAATGCAATCTAATTGGACCAATGTTGGATTTGTTTTTTGTTTTTTTTTAAGACTTTAAAAGGTTACCAAGGTTCAATATCAAGGAGAATCAAGTTGTTATCTCAAGGTTTACCACCTGTACATTTAAATTGACAAATCAGTTTGGATTAAAGAAAAGTAGAAGTACATCAATCACTGAGCACCCACTGCAGCACCAGGGAGGATTTAAGGACTCTGTGACCTCTATCCTGGAAACTTGCATCTCTATTCATATAGTGGGGCCAGTCCAGTCCTCAGGGTGTACAGGAAGGGGATTGGCCTGTTAAAAGCCTGTTTCTGATTGGAGTAAAAAAAAGAAAAGAAAAGAAAAGAAAAGAAAAGAAAGATGAAGGCTCATCTTTAGTGACAGCGTCTGCAATATAAGATCAAATGAAGACCAAGGAAACTTTAATATTGTTGAATGGTGCCTGGTGTATACCCTTCATCCTGTGTGTGTGTGTGTGTGTGTGTGTGTGTGTGTGTGTGTGTGTGTGTGTGTGTATAGACTAGAGCAGCTGTGAATGAGAGACAGAAGCATTATTGTGTATAGCTGAGAGGTACTAAGCTGCAGGAGTGTGTCCGTGTGGCTGATAGACACCAGTTCTAAATGCAAATGGTGTTTCTTGCTTCTGCAAGGAACAAACTTCATGGACAATCTGGTAAAAGCCTATAAGCCCTGATAGCTAAAGCATGTACACAAGGTGTAAACACAAAAGCTTGAGAGGTTTAAAAGGCACACATGCAGCTCACACGCGCACGCGCACGCACTCACACACACAGTTTGGAAACTTAAATATTCATGTTGCGCATAGACAAGCATAAAAACATACAAACAGTATACTGGCGCACAACACATTCAGAACAAAAAAAACAAACAAACAAACAAAAATCATAGAAAGGAACAGCATTGCACTTTGTCCCTGGTTATAATTCTGTAGGTTCCATAATCTTTCCTGAGCTACAGCTACAGATCTCCTGTGCTCCCTCTGATTCCTCTACATTTAGATTTACTTCAACAAACTCAGCGACACTACAAAGAAAAATAAAGAGGAGCACCTTAACATTTCAGTCCCCACCCGCACCCCCCACCCTCACCAGATCATATCATGCACATGTTGCGAAGAAAAGTTTCTACCAGCCACATCTCTGTGGCCGCTGTTTGAAATGAGGAATGCTAATGATGCTAACAAACCACTTGGGAAGCTGAAACAAAAACATCTTAAGATGCTCGTGTCTGATTAAGAGAAGTTGTTGCCAGTTGGTACTAATGACGCCTGCAGATTACAGTGAGGGAAGGGACAAAAAAAAAATGTTCAGGGTATCCATTACTTTAAATTAAGAGCAAAGAGCAGACGTTCTAAAATAAAGCTATCTGAGGTTATAATAAAAAACATAAGCTGATAACCAGACATATGGAATAAAAATTCAATTTTAAGCCAACAAAAATGAAAATAAATAAAAAAAAGAAAAAAAATCACATTCAAAACGGCCAAACTCAAGACCAGCTCTACATTTAAACCTTAGCATGATATTATATTTGTCATAGATTTTTTTTTTTTTCTTCAAATTTTACACATCTCAAGGGGAGGATTCTTCCACACTGATGGCATAGTGCTGTTGGCTGCAATGAAACATTGCGAGGACACAGTCTGCGTCCTTAGGTCTAGCACCGGTGTCACACAGATGAGTGTGTCTGCTGACGTGAGGCACCTTGCCTCACCAGCTCGGTCGGAAAGTGCTGCGCAGAGCAAAAGAAAAAAAAAATCATGAAAAATGGTGGCACACAAGGTCCCCCCCCCCACAAGCCGGGGCTGATCTGTTTTCCACTTTCTGCTTCACATACGGAGAGCTGTGTTCTATAGCTGAAGAAGCAGCGTCTGAGAAATACATTTGGCTTATTGGCAGACGGACATCAGGAGACAAGTAGAGAGCGCATGCTGGGCGATGATCATCTCATCTCAGTTCATTTTACTGTGTGATAGACAGAGCTGTGATTCACTGTGAGGAGGGAAAATGTACCAGGGGACTCCATTTTTTTTTTCCAGGATGAATTCATCCGTGTGTGATTTGCAACTATTTCCCAGCTAGATTCAGCTATACATTCATGATTATGGCATCTTCAGTCAATTAGTTTACAAGGCAGTCAAAAGCTTCAAGCTCGAAGAAACTGGCCCCGACGAATTTTATCTTGGCAAAAGGCTCAGGGGACACGGACGTTAGCCGAAGGAAGATTTGTTGTGTTGAAGTAGGCAATGGAGGTGGAACACTGCAGACGGGATAGTGACAGTTCAAGTAAGTTCAGACATGTTCCACAAGATGGACAGAGACTGAGGTCCTCCAAAACGCAACCTGAGGTGCTACTGGCACGTACAACATTCAATTTACTCCTTCATATGTTGGGAGAATGAGAGAGAGTGTGTGTGTGTGTGTGTGTGTGTGTGTGTGTGTGTCTCAAATTTTCTTGACGTGGCCGTATCACTTCCTCCTCACTCCGTCCTCGGGATCTCTCTGCTGTTTTATGAGCCTCTCGATCTCGGCCCCGAGTGTCTGCAGGTTCTCCTGTCGAAGAGAGTAGAAGACTTTTAGACTCAAATTCAACACATGGCAGCTTTTTTTTTGGGATTTATTTTCTACAGGGAAATATTCTAGGAAGAGCTCTGTATTATCTTTATGTTGTTACACTCTTTAACTTTACCGTTTGGATTCACTCTCATGTCTCTTCAGCATTGTTTTTAGCCACAGCTGCAGACGGCTTTTTTTTTTGCTTTTTCAACGACAACACTCTGATAAACTCACTGCAGCCAGCACAAACTGGCAGAGGGACAAAATTTAGCAACTAGACGGTGAAAATCATGGAGCTGGTAATGAGCCAGATATTTCCCTCAGGAATGGATGATAATGCTGCTCTGTGTTGATAATCTTTAATACAGCTGGTTACATCGATCAAACTGACACAGTAGAATCCCGTGCAGTGACAAAATATTATGTAAATATGAGTAAATCAAATCCAAAAATACCTATATAAAAGCTAAGGACAATGTGGGACAAATGGAATATTGTGGTCAATATAGACATACCACAGCTGAGGTTAGACCTTTAACAAGATAAATCTGAGAGATGTGCGTATTTCACTGAGTGGAAATAAGCTGCGCTTCATTTTCTTACGGCTGCAGTGTACGCAGTGTACGCAGTGTACCCTTTGGACAAATCACCTCTTGAGAAATGCACCTGCTGTAAACTGTGAGCTGAGAAGTGGAACAGATTCATTCATTTAATACCAACACATCTGGAAAAAAAAAAAAAAATTGGCTGAGCTGAAATCCTAATTCAATTAAATTATCTCAAGACCCTCAGGTACAGAAGCGGGACAAAGCTCACGCACACGTGCACACACACATACACACACACACACACACACACACACACACACAAACACACCCATGGGATGAATGTGGATAGGCACTGTGAATATAGGCTTGAATTCACTAGTTCAGATCTAGTAAGGAGGACAAACATGTCTCCATTACAGTGGGGGCGCCGTTTCCTTACTTAGCGGCAGCATCAATAATTCAGGTTCCGATTTAGACCATGAATTCCAAATATGTCATCTCTCTAAAAACAGAGACAGTTGATCGACAACCTGACGAGCACCCTGTCCTGACAGGGACAGGGACTGTCAGTCTGTCAGATGAAACAAAAAAGTGATACGCAGACAATGTGATGCATGATGTGGCTGAGGTTTGGGAGATACAACCCGAATGTCAGACAACCTCACTCAGCAAAAAGGTACGAGTGTGGTCTGATATTCCCTGTATCCTGATTTAAGTCTTTCATCCACACCTACACTGTCATATTGTTGGTGTACTATTTTTCTACTGTTCCTGTTTATGTAAAACTGTTAAAATGACAATATTACTTTCTGTTGTCAGACGCCTGGGGCAAAAGCAGGTGAAAGTCAAACAGTGGATACCCCAGCATGGCAATCTGCGCCGAGCATGAAGATTTGTTTTCTAATCTGAATGGCTTTGAGAGAATGATAAGCAAGCGCTTCTGCATGAAGGTACAGTATGTTGGTCTTTGATTCCCTGAGCATCATTACCATGAAGGGCGTAAGAACTACAAAGAAGCTCTTCATCAGTATTCTGCACCAACAGTTCACAGTCTGTACAAAAGTGCTACAGTAGAGGCACCCAGGGATCCTGCCGCCTCCTCCCGGGCTGCTGCAGGTGTGAGGACTTAGAGGGAAATGAGCTTTAAGTTTTCAGTATGAAATAACCTAATTGCTAAGTGTCCTTAGCTAATGTATGCATGATCTCGGGACACTAACATGTCATTAAATACCAAAGTTACAGTAAGATTTAGATGCACGCGTGAACATCTCCAACTGACTCGGATAATATTGTTATAAAGGCCACTGATGGGAGAAAAAGGGAGTTCCTGAACAAAATATGTGAAATTAAACTTAAATAAACTGAACCGCTAACACAGAAAACTGAGCTGCTGTAATGACAGCCACATAAATTATGTATTAAGTACTGCCGTGCACAGTGTTTCTAATTTATGTGTATAATAACATATCAGACTGTGACCTTAGAAGAACACACACCGGCAGATTTGACTGAACATGTTTTTTTTTTTTTTTTGCGGTGATGGCTGCGCCTGCACACTTTGATAGTCGAGCCCCTCCCCCCCCCAAGGTGGTGCATGACACTGGCAACGGCAATTAATTATCCACTCAGGTCATCAAAGCTTTAACAATTATGCGCTCACTGCAAATTACGATGCGTTGCAGGGAACTGCACACATCATCAGTGCTACCGGTGCATGAGAGCCAGTTTTTCTGCATTTAATACTTAAGGGGAATGATGCCTTCAGGGGGAGAACTTACCTTCAGAGTAATGTTCTTCAGCAGTGTGTCCTCCAACACAGCCTGCAGCTTCCTGTTGATCTCCAGCGACAGATCCAGGGTCAGCCCGCTGTCCGCCGGGTGGGAGGTGTAAAGCGAAGCCATAATGCCTCCCCGACGGCTCAGGTGGGCCTTGTTAATGTCGGACGCCTCTGACGAGAGGGCCCCCGTCTCCTCCCTTAGCACGTAGCTCTGGATAATTCTGCGGGGAGGAAGGGGGAAGAGAATGAGTCAAACTGCGTTCTTCAAAAAGGAGGGGGGGAAATGGAGTGAGAAAGAGGAATTTACAGGTGGGAGCATGGAGAGCTCCTACAGAGCAATAAAAGTGTTCCCAGCAGCAAAAGCAGCGGACGTTACTGGAATAGTAATTCCAGTGGGATGGCTTATTGAACTCATACATCCAGTCATAGCTAGAAAGATTATTACTGTGCCAGTCAGAGAGAGACATGAAAACAGTGGCATTAGAATGAGCTGCCAGGATTCAGTTGGGTCATTCCATTCCAACTAACCCCTGAATTCAGAACCTTTTCCCAGTCCATGTCATGGATTTTCTTGGCGAAATCCACAGAAAAACATCTATTAAATTCATGGGACCTTGCAAAATCCTATAGCTCCACTCCAAATCCTTTTTTTAAGTTATGAATTTTTGAAAGTTTGGCCACACATCTAGAGGTTATTTGGTCCTGCAGAAAAGAATGAGTGCCACTAATGTTGCCAATTATAGCTTTGAAGCTTTTGACCACATCAACCATGAATATTAACACATTAAAAAAAGTTTCAAGGACATAAAAATAAAGTCAAATAACTATTAGATGTGATAGAACTATATGAATGCGACAAAGAATCAAAAAATCCCCATGAATTTAATAGAAGTTTGTTTTCACATTAATGTTTTAAGGAAAATTCATGACATGAAGTGGGAGGTCCAAGGTGAATGACCCAATTAATGTCTGTATGTGTGCGATAGCGAGATAAATATTCATGTTTATAACACATTTCCATTTCAATAACAGTACGACGTCGAGGTTAAGCCATGTTTGCGTCAGAGAGAGGGAGAGAAGATTATTCATTAGCTTAATCGTTCTAAACTTCTTGTTGTCCAATTTCCCCCAGCGCAGCCCAGAGAACGCTGACAAGAGGAAAACGGAGAGCTGTCATTGTGATTCAAATCCATTACCTCCTCCCACATCATTATATTTTCCATAATATGCAAGAGAAAGGAAAACAATACAAAGTACTATTAAATGCAAAAGGAGATGGTTAGGGACATTAGTGTTTGAAACTCATTCATAAACATTTCTTCTGTGCATGTCTACTGCCTCAATCAAAGAGAAAACAAAACATGTAGAGGGTCGGACTTAGAAAGGTTTTTTTTTGCAAATGCATCTGTATTCTTTATCTTCTCTTAAAGACTTGGAGCGTGTGGGCGGGTGACGAGGGTTGTGATCTGCCGTACAGAGAAGGTCAACAGTGTCTCAGGATGGGTGAGTAATCAATATTTTAACCCTGCTCTCTCCGCCCGGCCATACACCTAACGCACTAACCTCAAACAGCAACAACAGTCAGCCCCCAATTGGCACTGTTCAGTTCAGATTCAGGGTGTTGTCTGACGCTGAGTAACTGTAGGATGAGCTCTGAGCACAGGGACGTTACTGACCTTTAAGTGAGATTCTGCAACACGCTTTCCATGCAGTACAAAAAAAAACAAAAAAAACTTCTGTATTTCTAAAGAGAGCCAGACGACTTGTAAAGCTAAAAGATTCTTATTAAAAGATTCTCAAGAAGACTGGAGTGCGAATTCATTGGAGGCGAGTACCTAAATTTGCAAATTCTGATACAAAAACTATTACTGCTACTGCTGTGGATCATTATCTAGCTATCAATAATGAAAAACCGGACTTAAAACCAGACCACAAATACCACAAATGAAAATGAATGGAAACACAGTTTGCGTGGTACATCCTTAAGCATGTCCCATTTTTCTGTGCTGTGATGGCAGTGATGACTCTTCATAGAGCTGCTCTGTGCACATATACGACATTTTGAGCTTCAGCAAGTCAATAAATTTATGGATCCAATCTAGAAATAGGACACTGACTTCAGGTGGTCTCTTTAAATGCTAAGCGCAAAGATTTTTATGTGGGACAGTCATTCATTGGGGACAAAGTGACTGTAAAAGAGGCTGCTGTTTAAATATTCCTGTTTATTCAAATGAGCATGTTGTGAAAGACATCTCGGAAGAGTTGAAAACATGCCAGTGACTTCTGTTAAAGACATTTCAGAACATATCATATTTTGGCCAATGCGAAGATCAATAGATAAGTTGTGTTGCGGTTGCTACTGAGCCTGGGACACATGGGTCTCAAACCTCTTTAAAAAAAAGGCAAAAGTGATTATGATAATTTTACCTGGAATGAAGAATTTGACGACCTCTCTGAAGAAGGGAGGATTTAATCAGAAATTATTTCTGACATGCATTTTAATCACTTACACTGGTACTCAGTATTGGCTTTTACATGCACTCTGTATGAGGGGGGAAAAAAAGAAGTGTACTCTTTTCTGTCTTTCACAGAAGTCAACACAATATCTATGCACTACATGAACCTTAAACTATAGGGTGCAATGAATGTATTCTAAAGTAACAAAGCAAATAAGTCTATGGTGCAAAAAAAAAAAAAAAATTGAAGCTATGTAAGCACTACAGAGAAGCAGCCATCATAAACCATCCCCATCCACACACACACGCACGCACACACACACACACACACAAACACCTGGGCTTGCACAGACATAAAATGAGACTTACCTCTGACTAGACTTGCAAGGGTCCATATTTGGACCCCAGTTCCATCACGACAGTGTTTAGTAAAAACAAAAAAGTGACAGAAATTAAAGATGTGGCCACATGGTGTGCTGAATGGCATGCACAGGTCGGCGGAGGGGCAGGGGAGTAAGCAAGACTGACTGACTTCGTTTTTGTATTTGTGAGTAATATGTCCTTTCTTTCCGGCTGACGGAGTGCGAGCAGTGAGGGCAGCAAGTCAAGCATGCATGAAGTGGAGGTGGCAATCCTGGGTACAACACAGCCGTCAATACAAAGCCTAGTTCTTAAACCTTGTGCTGCAAAAAGTGGCAAGACAGAAAGAGGAGATGCAGAGAAAAAGGAAGATATGCCTGTAGCGTGAAAACCTTTCAGTTATTACAGTCATGTTTTCTCTTCATTGTATTCAGAACTACACAGGCCAAAACCATGAATATAAAAAGGCAACTATCCATTTCATATTGGAGGCATTTTGTCGCAACGCGTACAACTGTACATGCTCCATGAATGTAGATACTTACGATCAGATCTGAGTAAATCTAAATATATCCTCTGTACTATTTACAAAACATCACAGGCACTGGCTTTACATACCAACTAAAACCAAAAGAAAAAAGGAACAATACTGAGAGGCAGTGGGGCAAAAAGCCCACATGACCTTAAAAGGATCCATTATAATATATTTTAACACATTCAGCAGGTGTGGACCCTCCGTAGCCTGCGACAGATTTTATATCGCTTTGATTTGCAGTTACCATTGATTACAACCTTAACAGAGTGAAAAGGATGCTCTCCACACCTCCTGCACAGAAGCACTCCTCCCGCTTTGTTCTCATCTGCTTTTGCATCAGCATCATTTTAATTCAAGTCACATGAATGGACCATTTAGACTTAATAGTCATAATAACCAGGTGTGAGGGGTTGAAGGACAGACATCATTGCCCTTGAAGGATGATGCTGCTATTTCTGCATTTTTTTTTTAGCTCATTTACTACAGATCACATATACTGTATGAACGCTGCAGCCAATGACCCATCTCTGACTTTGTGATAGCACATGAACATGCCACTCTGAAAACACGATTTAAGATATAAAAAAGGCGATATGATGTTCACTGTGATGGATAACTGGCAAGTGTAGTGAATTTTCACAGACTGAAGTGAATGGAAATGAACAGCCGCATGAAAGGTGAAAAAACAAAAACAAACTAAAGCTAATTATGTAGCAATAAAATTGCGAACTGGGAGGAGCTGCTGGCACTGGAAATATTTTTCCCCATTGCAAATATGCATTTAAAATTTTTTCTTTTATCCTTAATGTCACTCAACACAGAAATAAGACTCTCCTGAATAATGTGACAACCCTATAGGCTTATAATGTGTCTAGAAACCATGCTGTCGCCATAAGTTTGGCATGGCAGACAGCTCTGTATCCTGCGATACCCTTGAGTCTCAGCTGCCGGTGCAATGGAGAATAAGCCGGTCAGAGGCGCCGATGAGAACTGCAGCGAATTCGAAAACAGTTTGATATTTTGTTCAGAACAAAACACGGTGTTGAAGTTGCTTAATTCATCTAAGATTGACCTAGGATCAATTCAATTAAGCAGCAGTTTTAAGCTCTGAGGCTTGATGTTTCTTACAAAAAAAAAAAAACACCTCGGGAATCAAAGCAAGTTTCTCAACTCACGTTTTTATGTACACAAGCTTGTCCCTTCAATTATTTATAAGACATTTTCTAACGCAATCTGTTGTTGTATTAATTCAACTGGGAGAGTTCCAGAACCAGCAGTGCACATTACAGCTCCTCCCAATTTTCAACTCTATGTACTTATACTACACAATATCTTAAAATAGAGGGTATACATGAGTACTAAATGGATACAATCGTGAGTGGTCAATGAGCTAAAAGATGCAAAACACTGTGAGTGGTGTGAATGTGCGAACATAAATCAAAAATTAGCCTATTGAACTTCCTCCGCTAACTGTCCTTTGTCAGAGACCCACTAAGCTGCTTCTTCCCTTTCTCTGCCTCTTTATTCATCACCTGCTTCAGGCTTACAGTTATCTCGACAGTGTTCACCAGGCTGTCCTGGAGGGATAGGGACACAAAGGAAGAAAGGACGAATTCACATCTCACATCCACATTCTAGTGTAACACCCCCCCGCTTAGCTGAGATTTTACAGAGCTAAATTTAGCCTGGCAACCGTGGGATTCGTCCTCAATTTTAACTCTTGAATTTAGGTTGAGGCTAATGGATTCAATCCAAGTGTACAGCTGGGAAACAAATGAGAAGAAGGAAAAAGAGATGATCCAAGTAGAATCAACTCAGATGGTTGGATATCTCTGTGCACTGTTAATATCCGCTGGCAAACAAGAGCCAATGTGGTGCGAAAACTTTTAATGAACTGAATGGAGCGGTCTTTACTGATCAATGAACAAGATTTCATTCACTTTACTCATGTGAGAGAAATTTCTCCACCTCTTAAGTCCCTTTGGCTCTTTGAGATTATGTTATGTTGAAAACTCATATTCACATCCCATTTTATCCTGACATAGGTCCGGAATCCACTTCCAAGGCCTGAACTACACATGCAGCGATGTTGTGATTAAGATAGTGCAAAACGTCCTTCACACTGTCTCTTTAGTTTAGGTGATGGCCATGAATATGGATGGATCATCATTAAGGATCCATATGGAGGCGTTGCCCCTCCTCCCAGTGACTCGACTATGAATAGCTCTGCGTGAAGTTTGTCACGAATCAGAAGTGCAACGCTTGCATGTGTTGGAGTATAAAGATATGAGAGAGAGAGAGAGAGAGAGAGAGAGAAGGAGGTATGGGGGCCATAAAACTGTGAGTTTAAGCATATACTGTCTGCCAAGGTCAGCTGATGTCCCGTGTACGACAAGGACTGAGGTATAGTGCGCCTCAGTGTGTGCTGAAATATAAAGAAATATTACACTATATCTGCAATAAACAGCTCTCGCAGGGTCAAAGAGCTGTTTAACACGTGCAGCTAAGAAAATACACACTTTAGCATTAAGTTGTTATGCCTTTTTTTTCCCCCTTTAACACTTTCACAAGACTGCAAGAAATTGCGCTCTCTCCTATGCTACACTGTGACTGCTGATGACTCATGAGCTGTTGCCGTTTGACTTTAAAAGCGAGCTCACACAAATTGTGGCTGCACAAGAACCCACGGGATGTTTGAGGGTACCTGTATATGAGGCATTTAGTACTTGAACTTCGTAAGCGTGATGAATGAGTGGTGGTGGTGGTGCAGCATCCCGAGTCTGCCTCAGAGGATTCTCTCATTAGTGAATAGCTTTTTATATTTTCCTGACTCCTCTTTTATTCCTTAGTGGCTGCTGGTTGTGGCTTGTTCTTGCGTATGTATCACACAGGTGCTCGGATTCTTACTGCCCAACTGTTGCTTTAAAACTGCTGGAGTGTTAGGATCAGGAAACACTGTGTCAGATGTGTCAGGTTTGTGAGGCACTCTTTTACTGAAACTGCTCTTCAGCGCTGTATATTGCCTCAATAAAAACAATTATAAAACAGGCTCCCGCCATCTCTCTTTCTCTGCTCCCTGTACTTTGGCCCATGCCACTCACTTGGTCTTTTTGCGGATCTCTTCCACCAGTTGCTTGATGTGATCCTCCATGAACTCAATTTTTTCCTGCTTGCGAGCCAGAGCCTTTTGCAGACGGACAATGCGCTCCACCAGCACAGCCTTGTCGACCTCTGGGAAGCTGTCCACGACCACCACTGAAGGACCTGACTGACTCTCGGGCGACCGCTCTTCGACACCACTGCTCCCGCCGTGACGTGCATTCAAGGAGCCTGGGAAATTTGAGGGGACAGGGACAGAGATTAATTTACAAAACTGTTTGTTTGAGGTCATGGATTAGGTAAATAAACACTACCTTGTTTAGAGATTTAAATGTATCCCATCAGAGCAAGAAAACTAAAATACTATATACACCAACTACACCCTTTTATGATATCACTACTGTATGTGTCAAATACTAACCAAATCCAGGAGTAGTACCTGAGGAACTAGAGCGACTGCCCATGCTGCTGGCATCCCGGTCGCAGCCTCCATTCTCAACCTGCTCCAGTCTCTTACGGGCTGTAGAAGAAGAAAAAGTAAAGACCTATCAACTGGCACAGAGATACACTAATACCAATAAGACTATGTGATAGATACAATTAGAAACTGGCATTGCTAAGCACTGAATATTACAAAATTATTTATTAAGTTGTTCACAAAAAAAAGTAGTTTTCTTAAGTACTGTCTCCTTATAGGAAGTTTTTTTTAAGACATACCAAAGAAATGACTTCAAATTGCTTACACCATACAGTCAAAATCCCCAAATAATTTGTTTAATTGTATCAAATAGAGACAAGCAGGCAAATCTTTTCATTTCAGAGAATGAAATGAGGAAATATCTTTAATTGATAAATGACTTGGCAAAATAGACTGATTATTGAAGTGTCACAGGATTCATTTTCTGTTGAGTAACTCACTCATTTGTCAACATTTCAACACCAGCCTTGATTGAGAAAAAATAACACACAAAAATGACTGGGATTATGACTTTGAAAAAGTTCTATAGTCAAGCAAAAATTAACCGAGCATGAATTTTTAAAACAAACTATTAGAGGCAGAGGCCCACAAAAAGACACAGTGAAAGTCAAAGCTAAGCATCACTGCTCAACTGATCTCAGTGAGTTTCCCTCTGCGAAGGTGTCTACCTGAATAAATGCGATGTGCAGGTTGCTTTTGAAGAAGACTGTTTGCTCAGCAAACCTTCCATGCATAAACAAAAGGCCTGAAAATGACTTTACTAGTCATAAAGTGTAAGTACAACACTGATGAATGATCAGAAGCTCTCTTCTGCATACAGGATAATAGCACTGAACTTCATGCCTTACGGTTACTGCATGTGTCCATAGAACAAAATTAAGTATAATCCAAGCATGAGGGGAACATTGGCACCTATCTGAACACACCCATCTTCTTTGTTTCTTATCACCCTGCACTTCCCCCTTTAAATCTGCAAGCGTAGCCTGGCATTAAATCCTGAGTACAGTCAATCACTCAACCAATCCATTCTATATTAAAAGATAATTATCACAGTAAAGTGAAAGTAGATGATGGGAACATAACTAACAACATAAATCTTATGTTATTATGTTTAATTTCCAGACCAATATTTGTGAGCTTTATATAAAGCAGAATTACTTTGATGATGATGTGCTGACCCTGGATAAGGGCTTTGATGTCTCCAAATAGCACACATTTTAACTTTGCATCTATTTGTAAAGTATTTCTCAGTTATTGTACCCATGGATGACTGCACCGTACATGTGTCCTCAATTTACAATGAATTTCTACCTGTATTGTTGTTAAATGCTGGTGCTAAATGGTGGAACTAGCGAGATTGGCCTGAGGGCATTGGCTTCAAATAACTGGATGTGACATCACACTGTAATAGTTTTAGACTGAAATGGTTTTTCCCTCGACCTGTGATGTTATATTGGATTAATCCCCAAGATATTTCAGTGCACATAGAAAATAATTAGTTGTTTAATGAAAGATATCTTTAATAGAGGCTAGAGGCGTTGCTACCTTCCATAGCCACCTCTTGCCTCGGCTACATGGTTCTGAGCCATGATGGAGCAGAAGTATCTGATGGTTTTCCCGACCTTGCGTAAGTTGTTTCGTCAGGTCCTTGATGTTGGCGGCTTGTTTCCTTTTCTGAGTCACCAGCTCATCTCGCAGCTCTTCAACTCTGGTTTTCAGCTGGACCACCTCTGTCTGCAGTGCTGTCCGCTGCTCCTGCAAGCCCTGCACCTCCTGCTGCCTCAGCACCTCTTCCTGTTTCAGGTGTCGTGACTGCGCCATTAATGGAGATGAGAAAGAAAATGAGATTAATAATGAAATAACAGCCATGACAGAGTGCTAAGATATTGTGACAATGGCTGCTTGTTCCAAAAAAAAAACAAACAAAAAAAAAAAATAAAAAACAAAATTCGCAATCATTCCCCGACCTTGTCATCCAGAAGCCTGTTGGTCTCCTCCAGCTTTGCCTGGAGCTCCGTAAAGCTGCTGGTGAGCTGATCCAGCTGAGACTGTAATGCGTTGCTCTCTGACTGGAGCTGGGCGTTCTTGCTGCTCAGCTTCTCAGTGAAGCCCAGTAACTCAGCCTCACGCTCCCTGCTGCCTTGTACATCACGCTGGAGGTCAGCCATCTGGTTGGTCTGACCGTCCACTTCCTCACGAAGAGATGTGATCTCCTGTTGGTCACTGTGTGTGTGTGAAGAAAAAAAGATTAATACATTCACACACTTATTTGTCTGTGAAATGCATACAATTATATATGAGAATTGTAGGACAAACAGAAAATCTTAAAGAATATGATACAAAAAAAAAAGTGCCACATCATATGACACAAAGATCCAACATGAAAATGAATCATTTATAAAAAACTAAGTTACGAACTATTGATTTGAAGGACAGAGATGCTTGAAACATGAGAATATCTTCACTATCCATTCGATCACATATAATCATTGACAAATTCAAATAAACCAGCTCTTTTGCATCTGCATTCAGAAGGACCACTGCAGTTACAGGAAAACTAAAATGAGCAATAACAGTTTGATTCACAGAAAAACTGGGAAAAATGAACCACACATAATGCGTCAGGATGAAGGTCACAATCTTTACTGGTAGTGACGTTGTCTATGGACCAAAGAAAGGGTGGCACAATTTTTTTTTCTTCTTGCAAACAACTTAAAATGTTGTACGAGTGAATGGAGAAAAAAAACAAACAAAAAAAACTTTCTCCTGCACAAAATGACAGCCAGAAAAAAAATAGAGAAGCTCTTGCCTAAATCAATTTGGGTTGGTGCCACCTACTTATGGCACTCTGGCAGACACAGAAAGCAGCATTTCAAAAAGTGGGAAAAGTTTCTCTGTCAAGTCATCTGCACATGGCCAGCAGAGCCGCAAACCCACAGAGGGACCTGAATCCCTTTCTGCCCTGTGTGCTATATCTATCCCTGGCCTATCTTTAAACGCTCTGATAAGGTACTTGGAAAAAAAATTATAAAAAAGGGCCAAGAACTATATTACAACCTTGCACAGTTCTATTAAAAACAGTTATGTCTGAATGGTGATAAAAGGTGCACAGGTCAAGAACTGAAACTGGCCTGAAAGTTAACCTACACCATGCATGGATGGATTTGTGTAAGCATCTGACACATCTTAAACTGTTAGAAGGAATTATCTTGTCAAGACTAAGCCAAGTCACTAAATCATATTCCCACATCATATTCCCTGCTTAAGTGATGGTAATGGCTTTATTTATAGTTTCTCAGTTAAGTCTAAATCCCATTATGTATCACTATCTTGCAGTTCAGTCACAGGATCCAACTGTGCGCGTCTTCAAACACACGTGTACGTCTTTGCTGATCTGAGCAGCTAACTGACATTTGAAAGGAATACCTCCAATTCCTTTTGTCTTTCCCAAAATGGACTGGGTCAACTGGGACTTTCCATCATATTTCAGTTAAAGTTATTAGTATTTTCTTTTGCATGAAGTCCTCCGTTATCCGCACAACACCAAGCAGCAACAATAAAAAAAGTATTAGCAAGTGTTATAGCTTGTTAGCGGGACTAGCTTGCCTGCCATATTTCTGTATTGGCACTGTCTAGAGCGAGTCCTGGAGCGCGCTCAACATTTCTGGACTATGATTTCATAGCTGTGGAAACCACAAGATGCTGAAATTTATAACTGGAGGATAATAAATGATAAAAATGTTAAACAAATGTCTCATATAGTCTCTTATAGTTTCTGAGTTTTATTCATAGTTCATCCCGATGAATGCTTACATTTACAGCAACATGTGTCACTTATTGCTGCAGAAAATATGGCACAAAAATCAGTGTCAGAAAGTTTGTTGTACATTTAAAACCATCTCATCTCAGAACCACGAAATGATGATGGGATTGTGATGACACCTTATAAAACATTACATGGCCTCTGTTAATATGTGTATGCTACTGTGCAAATATAGATTTTGCACATGCAGTACTGTCCTATGGTGTGTTATTGATTTTACCTATCAGTGTGTGTTGTCCTATATGATCAGTGCGAGGGTGTGTGTGTGTGTGTGTGTGTGTGCATGTGTACCGTTGATGCTGCTCCTGGAGTGCCGTGATCTCGTCCAGCTTTTCTCTCTGCCGGCCGATCTCAGCCTTCTGCCGGTTGATGATCTCCCTGTACTTGCTCAGCTCGTCCTCCCAGCGTGGACGCTCGTCCTCTAAACACTTCAACTACATAACAACAGCCACTTATTGATCTGATGACCCGCTGATATCATGCGCACACACAGATGTTCAAGCACTTATCCGTACGACAAACCTTGGTGCGTAGGGTATTGAGCTCATCCATGCCCTCTTTGTAACTCCTCTTCAGGTCTTCCAGCTCCTTGGCCTTCACTCGGTGTACCTGCCGTACACATTGAGGTCTACATTAGATATTTACCCATTACTATGCATTTTACTTTGAGCCTGCTCATAGAGGCTGTATCTCTCTCTAAACCTCTGAATCCTAATTGTACAGGGAGACGTAATACTAAAAAGGTTTGCTCTCTGCCAGTTCAAAGTGTGATAACAAAGATTTAATACACATTGGCGATTCAGTTCAGTTTCCCACATCAACTTAATCCACAGTCACACTTAATGGAACATATTTCTTCTTAATGAAAAATCTTACAGTAGCATCATTTCACTGCAGATGCATTTCCTGGCAATCCAAGTGTTGCATTCATTAAAGTTATTTTGCTTCTGCACTCATTAAGCGTGTGAAAGCAAATCTTAATAATGTTTCATCTCATGTTTTTAAACAGAACCATTAATGGCACTAGAGCTCGTCAACTTTTCCTAGAAGCTATTAGTAGCCTGTGGTATCCAAGACAACATGTGAGTAAAAGGACATGCAGGCAAATTTTACCATGTATGTCCACAAATCGTCCCTTCCTATCCTATTTCAATGTTAGCTCCCGGACAGTAATGGAAACTCAATGTTTCATTTGCATTATTTATGACTATGCTGCATCATCACTTAAGCATAACACACAAAAGGCATGGACCAATTTAACCATTAGCAGGGTAGCAACATGTGCCAAAATTGAGGTTCTTTATGATACAACCTGTCCTAAAAACAATCTGCACAGCGTATCAGGGATGTGGCAGCGACATTAAGTATGTCACCATTGGGAAAGCTTCAACTTTTCAGTTAAAATAAATTCGTCAAAATTCAAATTTAAAGACAGTTAATTACTTTTACCTGGTATTTGTAAAATAGATATCAAAATATTTGAATGGCTTGTAAAACACCCTGGAGAAACAAAGCAGACATGCCACGTGGAACGATGGCCAACAAAAAAAAAAAAAATGGGTCTTCTGGGTTGTTGTTAAAATGCAAAGCTTCATATTGATTATTTCTAGGTCACTTATTTTTAAAGTGAGATTCCCCTCAGAATGGGGGAGAGAGAAAAACAGGCCACTGTGTTTGGAGCGAGTCCATGTCTGTGCCTGTGTGAATGCGCGTCTGCGTCTATGTGCCAGTTCGTTACTCATCCCTAGTTAAGGTAATTACACCTCTCAAACTGATGAAAACAGCTGAAAATAAACATTTTTACTAGAAGAGCTGGCATTAAGGCCATCAATAAAAGGCTGAATAATGGCCTGGCAGAGCAGAATGTATATGCAATTTTTGAATTAAGAGCAAACCTGTATTACTGTTGATTTTCTATTTCTGGTGGATTGTCGCTTAGAAACAAAATTAACAGAGAAGTATGTCTGCAGACACACAGTGAGCATATAAACTACTCATGTTTATGGTATCGCTGCTTCAATATGTGGATATGATGAAAAGGGGGGGGGGCCTTAAGCTCTCATGACAACGTGTACACATGTATGAGAAAGTGTTTGTATGTGCACGGTGGTTGTCACCTCCAATTGGTCGGTTTGTTCCTGCTTGTGTTTCTCCAGCTCTCCTTTGGTCTCTCTCAGTTTAGCATCCAGCTCATTGGACTTGAGCTCTTCTGATTCCTGGAGGACATGGGGGGGTGGGGGGGTGGGGGGGGGGGTGGTAAGATTACAAAAAGGGTGATGGGGAGAATGCAATGGCTGAAACAACAGCAGAGCACAGGCTGATCTATAGAGAAGACTAGCTTGGAAGAAAGAGAGATTTCTTGGGGATAAGACACAGTTGAAAGAAGCAACAATGAGAATATATTTATATATATATATATATATATATATTGCAAAGATTTGTTGTATGTCTTTGTTTCTTGGGAGCTTCATGTCATTTAATTTTGATGTCTTGTTCGGTTATATGCTAGAAATGTTGTTTATATATGAGTGATGAAAGAACAGTAGCTCACACTAAACTCCACCACAGAGAGAAAACCTAGGCAGCTCTTTACTACCATCATAAGGTGCAAATGGAAACTGCCATTCTCCTGAAGCAGAATCAATCGTGTTCTAACTTTAGCTTTAGCACACTGGATAGCATCTTCAGATTTCAGATTTGATTAATTCATTTCTCTGACCAAATGACTGGGAGTAGGATAAGTGTTTGCAGCCATTAATAAAGATTTTAATTGGCACACAAATGCATCCATACTGCCATCCCTTCCACAGACACAAACCCAGACATGTGCCGGAACATGAATCCAGACAGATATTCTGTTTGCTTACATCCTTGGTCATGAGCAAACGAATACTTCTATGTTACAAATATCACAGACCTGGTATGTTCGGATCATGTCCTGGCAGTTCTTGCGGATCTGTTCGGTCTCTTCTTTGGCCTGGGCCAGTTTGGATGTGGTTTCTCTCAGTTTGTCTTTAGTTTCCTGCACACAGAGAAACACAAGCATGCTATTGTAAATATCAAAACTAAAAGAAAGGGCATTTCACCTCAAAACAAAGCTCATACTATCTTCTTTTACTTACAGATGCACATACACATGTACAGACCGAGTGATTTATACACACATCAACCACATGAACCACCACAAGGACAAACTCAGCTCCAGTGGCTTTGAGCAACTACTGTTTTTTTTTCCCTTTCTTTTTTTTTTTTCATCTGTTTATAGATGTGCATTTGCTTGGGGGAAGTTGAAAATAAAACCATTATTTTGTAATAGAGATTTTCAAAAAATAGCTACAGTGTTAATGATGATTTCCTTGCAGGATCATTACTGTACCATTTTCACCCCATTTCATTTCACCCGACCCCCCGTCCCCCCCTAATCGAAAGACTCATCTAATCATGTTTTTTTTTTTTTAATGGAGTGGCTGCAGATGAAATGACTGAAGGGGATGTTATTTGTGTCCTGGAAATATTTAGCAGGCCCACATGTTTGATAAACAACACAGGTGGTAAATGAAGAAAATCGACATTAACCGGAAAATTAAGTATGTTGTTACAAATTGATATGTTGTATGTATACACAGTAAACTGGAGCTGCAACGACAACGTATTTGCCATGTAATTGTGTAAATTAGTTGTCGGCATTCGGTGTATCATTTGATTAAAATTTGAATACTGCATGTTCAGGTTCAATTGAATCCAAAGTGAATACAGAGCTCCCTTCACTGTGTTTTTGATAAGGTTAAAACCAAAAATAAGAAAAAGGTGAAAAGTTTTTAAAGATTTTTTCCATCATATTTATCCACAAAATATTTCCTCTATACATTTGTACATTTGGGTTGTTAGATTGATACATGTTGCTTTGACTACAATTCTGATGCCAGGGCTGGAGACATAATTAACACAGAAACATTACCTTGTGTGCATCCGCCTCACTCTTTAGTTTGTTCTGGGCCCATTTGACCTTGATAAGATGCGAGTTGATCTCCTCCTTCAACTTTTCCACCTCTCGGGTCAACCTGCTAACCTCGCCCTCCTGAGAAGACAGAGAGATTGGTGAGGCAGGAAATAATACAGGACAGGAAATTGATTTTTGGCTGAGATACTTAAACAATAACTTGTCTCAATGTTATTCCCCCGCTAATTCTGTAGTATTTATACAACGCATCCGTGCCCCATGTGGGACATCCAACCAGCACGAAAAATTACGGCAAAATCTGTATACACCACACAATGTTCATTACATCTTTGAGAAACTGATATGAAGACAATTATGAACAAAGCACAAACGTATGTTTACGTTTCTACCTTAGCATCATACAGCTGCTGCAGCCGGCCTTTCTCCTGAGCCAGCTGGTTTCCTCGGAGCGCCTGGCGGTCTACCTCCTTGGTGGCCTCCCTCAGCCTCTTCTCCAAACCCTCCTTGTCCCGTCTGAGGTCGAGGGCCTCTTTCTCCCCCCGCACATACTTCATCACCATGGCCTCCTTCTCTTGGCGTGCCTCGTCACACTTCTTGTTCGCCTGAGATGGTTGGTTATACGATGAGACGGGTTTATAACATATCCCACACTTCAGTCACTGAGCTGCTTATACTGCTGGACCCAAAAAAAGAGGATCAGAAGAAAGTGATATTTCCCAAAGGAATCCTTAAAAGGAAATGGCTGCGGAGGAGATGTATAGTCTAGTCTACTTAGCCTGCTTACAACTTCAATCTGGACTGGCACCAGTGAAGTGATGAAACATGGACAGCTGGATGGAAGTTAAAACTGCTGACTTAATGTATTGTCAGTTCAGCGATCTTAACAAACAGCGCTGACATGCTTTCACTTCGCAGCAATATTACAAATCCAATTGCCATATTTCACGGTGAGTGCAATAATATAGTCAGTTATTTAATAAATTTAGTACAACTGCAGCAATGCACCCAGACTTTCTCAATTCCATATTTTCCATTTTTATACTAACTACTGCTGCAACAATTACTTTTATTATTGATTAATCTCAGGCTATTTACTTGATCAATTAATTAATTGTTATATCAACAAAATGTCAGAAAACAGTGAAAAAAACTCTTTTTCCTCAAGCCTAAGTTGACATGTTTCTCAAATTGCTCTTTTTATCCAACTAGATCTACAAATTAAATGATATTCAAGCAGCAAATGCCAATATTTGAGAAGCTGGAAACAGCCATGCTGATTAATAGATTATCAGAATGTCTCTTTTTTTAATTGATCAACTAATCATTTAATTGAATAACTGGTTCAATTGTCAACAAGTTTTAAACAACACATACCAAATGCCAATTCATCTATACCTGAAGCTATACCTGATCACCCTGGTACACCTGCTGTACAGACACTTCACTCTGAATTTGATAGTTCTTTCATTGCTTTCCCCACCAGTCTCACACCTGTGTGTTCATTCCTCATCCCAACGAGAAGCTCATGCGCCATTTCTCCGTTGGTCAGATAACAGTTTAATGTTCCCGTGCCCAACCTGCCCAGAAGTTCACTCTCACAAGTTAGTGTTTGAAAGCACAGGAGGGAAAACTGTTTAACAGATGCTTTGTGTGCTTTTGTGCGTTTAAGAATATAGATATAGCACATTTTGTGCATCAGGCATGCCATTGTGTATTTTAAATAAATGACAATAAGTTGAAGAAAAAAAAAAAAGGACAGAATGTATCAATGAGCAAATGTTTCAAACCTCTGGGGCAACAGCTGATGAGACCTGGGTCACCATCTTTAATACAAGAGAGGACTGATACATGTGACAGTGTAGAAAGGGACGACTGAGTTCAAGATCCACCTCACGCAGTTCACTGAACGGTGAAATTAAAAATTGTGAAGTGTGACAAAACTGTCAAGTGGAAAGCACTCTACCAGGTGTCTGAACTATTGGATGAAAAATGTGCTTTCCTGCACTATTCGCTTATCAAGTGATTAAATCTGCAATAACACGAGTTTGGTGTGCCAAGACCTTGACCATTCAGGTGCTAACTTTATGCAGACGTATTCAAAGATGTGGGATTCAGTGTGTGGCAAAAACAATGTATTTTTGACCCATTGTGAGTACCAGTTATTTTAGCCATTTCAGCTTTAGCAATAATTTTTAATCCTAACATGAATACAACATTTCTTTTTCTATGAGGTGGTACAAGTTACTCACTGGTAGTGGCACATTGATAGGTATAGGCATAGGTATATAGTAGTTTAAAGATAGAGATACTACAGATGCTGTGGACAGAGATACTCAGCCAGCAGTTTGTCAGATATTGATTCAGCAAATTGGGCCAATTAATAAAAACATTAAGCACAACACAGCACACAAAAAAATGACATATTCTTGTCTCCAACTCTAGTATTGAAAATCTACTTTCTTGTACACGCACAGTATATACACATGTATTGATGTTTGTATGCGTTGTGGATGATGAAGCTGCATTGTGGTTTGAAGTGTCTTTATTAACTGTCTGAGTTTGCTGCTGCTCATTTCTCTCTGACAAGCTGTTGGCTCAGTCAGACATCTGTGACCACAGGAGCTGTAGCCCGAGCTCATAACTGCATAAATACATCAATACAATAACATTAACCGTGAGAAACCCATACCATATTATGTCATGGGCTTATCCCCAACTTTCCCTAAACTGCTCAGGGAATCTTTTTCATCTTTACTTTACTTTACTTACAAAATGTCCCCCGTCTTTTTTCTCAACTAGTCAGGACAGGGTTAATGGCAGACTGCACTGCTACAATTTCTATTTATTGAATCATATTACTGTAAGGAAGTGTAATTTTCTACCATAGGCCATAAAACTAGAAAAAACTGCCTTTGGGACGAGTATTTTGATCGTTTTTTAAGTAATAACATTGTGAGTTACAGTGACTAATGACAAACTTGGCCTTAATTCAGCAAAATAAAGGTACTGTTGCAACCTAAAATGAAACAAGACCAGACATGTAAATAAGGGTCAGACTGTGGCAAAACTATGCTGTGTGACCAGCTTATCAAGGAGTCTCAGAGTATTTAGGTCCCAGTTATACCTGTTCTAGCCGGAAGGCCATCTCCTTCTGCATCTGCTGGAGGGCGGCCTTAGCTGCCTGGTCCTGGTGGATTAGTTTATCCCGCGACTCCTTCAGTTCTTTCAGGAGCTCCTCCACCCTGCCTTCCAACTGCAGAAACAGGGAATACAAAGGGTAAACAACTAGCAGGGCAACATGTAACCTCGGGCCACACCCAGGTCAACCTGCTACACAGGATGACAGCAAGAAAATGCTGGAGGCAAAATCAAATTGGACAGCACAGGAAGGGGAAGGAGGTTTGTTCTATTCCTCAAAATCAAATACTTTTACGAAAAAGAAGAAATGTGTTTAGTGAGATAAGCCTAAAATAATTACATATGACAGAAAAGCTCTTTTACCTGCCTGTCTGAAATATCAGTGTCAATCTGACTGTTACTTTCACAATTTTTCGGAAAAATTCATTGGTAATAGACATTTAATATAATCAAGCCAAAACCTAAGATTGGAAAAAATAAATAAAAAGGATCCAAGCATACATTGAGTGTATGTAATAGAAATTCTTCCTACACCTTTTTGCTTGCACAATGCTTAAACAAATGCTGTCACAAAGAAAGCATGAATTGATTATTGTTCCCTCTATGGCAACAGCGTTGCTAGACCAGACCCAATGAATAGAAAACCACTGGTGTTTTGGAGTGCCAGCTAGATGGTATGCTTTTTTTTTTTTTTTTTTTTTTTTTTTTTTTTTAAATCAAGGGTAAGAAACACACACACACACAAAAAAAAAGACACATGACAATGAGAAACACATGATTCATACAAATGAATATGGCCTTTGATGCGCATGTGGCCTGTTGAATGCCAGTAAGGACTCAGTGTCCTTTTCCTCTCCCCACCAGGTTGCTTTGTTTGACTTCCTTAATTGCCAGCTATACAGGGCTAGACTCTGCATTTAATTGAATTGGAGTGTCACTGTGACCAGTGCTGCTACACATTATTTGTCCTCTGGTTTGTCCTCCAATTCTTCAACAGACATCATTGGCAAATCTCCAGCATCTTTAAAGGTAACTTAATATTAAAAGGGATATTTCAAGTATTGGACATATGTAACTGTTTATTCAGCAAATAAAAAATTTATGTTGTATGAGCAATTTCTGTATCTTAGATGACGAAATATTGTATTAACGCACATTTTTGAATGTCAATACTCAGGCAAGAAAAGAAAAGTCGCTGATTTGGTGCTAAACCAATAATCTAATAAGCAATCAGTGTTCCCATCAGTTTTAAGGCCGCTGTAGTCTGCTGTTATAAGTCTTTTCCTTCATCCCGTTATAACTCCTAACACTACTGTGTGCACTGAAAAAATGTAAGTATTTGCAAAATGGCAGGTGCAACTGTGATCACTATTAGCAGAGGTCAATGTCCGGCACAGACAGGAAGTCAGACAAAACATTGCAGTGGAGCACTTCCTCGTTGGCTTCCATTGTTTTCAAAAATCTATTAACAATAGCTTGAAGAGACATGCGGCTGCAATGATGAACAAAGTTATTTTCAAATATGCTTGTTTTGGACCAAGGGACAGATACAGACCACATCACTTGCGCACTCTAAAACAGTCGCTGCCATATGACCATGTTCAACATGAACAGACTAAAGAAGATGAAACCAACCTTTTTAATGGTGGCCATGTGCTGCTTTTCCGTCTCTGTCCTCTTTTTCAGCTCTTCCTTCATGTTGTCCTTCTCTGAACAGATACCCAGGATCAGCTCCTGGTGTCTCTTGTTCTCCTCAAGCAACCTACACACACACACACACACACACACACACACACACAATACCAATTCAGGTCAAGTTCACACAAAGCACTGAAGAATTTAGACTGCTGTTATTAAGGCCAGAAGAGAGAGCAGGATAGGAACATATGTGGGTTATTCTGTGGTTTATTACTAAAAAAAATAAGAAGCTAAGGCTTTAAATTACAATTATTCTTGTGTGTCAGCTTCATAAAAAGCAGATTTAATACAAGTAAGGTGAATGAAAAAGAAAAGCAATAGCAATTAGGTTAATCTCTTGCTAAACTGACCCGTTTCAAAGATAAGCACTTTACAAATGGCACATTAAACTGAAGCTAAAACCAGAGTGTATCAATTTAAACTTACAAAATAGCAGTTTACCTCTGAATAGCTTTCTCCTGCTGTGCATACTTGTACTGCACACACTTCTCAAAGACCACCATGCAGTCCTCCTGGTCTGTGGGGAGTCCATTGACAGGTGGGCTGCCCTTTCTCTCGCTTCCACCTTCACCCTCAGGCAGCTGACAGGCCAAAAGCTCTGACTCTAGCTCATCCAGCAGTGACTCCTGTGACAGCGAGCGCTGGATCTGGGAAATAAGCTTGCGGCTGCAATCAGTGTCATATGGGCTCGACGAGGAATGTGACGGGGCTGAGATGTTGGCACCGGTTTGTGGACTGGAAGCAAGAGAGGAGCTGACAGTGTCAGAGCTAGGGGTCGAGGGGCCGTTAGAAATCCCAGAGGTGGTCGTGGTCTCGGTAGGGGAGTTTTTGGAAGTGCTCTGGACGGAAGAGGATGATGGACTCTCAGCTGAACCATTATCATCAGCCGGCGATGGCTCTGTGGAACAATTTGTAACCAAGAGTGATGGTTGCATATTGTGGTTCGGAGTTGTGGCATGAGGAGCCTTCACTTCATCAAAAGTCAATAAGGTTTCGATTGTGCCTTCAAGAACAGAAGGAGAGCTTTCTACCACATCATCTAAAGAGGTGTCTGGGGCTACCAAAGCTCCACCAGCCTCATTTGAAAATGAAGGAATCCCACCTTCCGTGGAAAGTGTATTGTTATGACAGCTGGTATCAGCATCCATCTCACTCCCAACCACCTGTTCCTGGCTACATGTTTGAGCTTCTGGCTCTGTCTTTGTGTCCATCTCAACATCTGTTGTACTCTTGATTAATTCACTTTCAGGCAGTGCTTCATCTTTTGCCTGACTGCACTTTTCTGCCTCATCAGCACCATTGTGGGATATTTGCTCCTCATTTTCTACATTGGCTGTGCTGTTGTGGGGCTGACTCACAGGGGGAGATCCCTCAGACACAGATTCAACCTCTGATCCTTCCATCATGTGTGTATCTGAAGCAGGACCAGGCTGTTCCATGGCCCCTCCCTCAATTAAATCTGTCAGAAAGAGACAAAGAAGACACGGAGGGGAGAGAGGAAGACAAGTGGGAGAAAAGACTGATAAACTGCTTGGGTTTTCAAACATGACATTGTGTGACAACAGTTTTCCTGTGAGCAACCCACAAGTCTGGGATGTCACCAATACAGCAGCACTGTGTTATGTGCATAGTGTGTTTTTCTGGTCATTAAGTACAATCTTGGCCTTGTGTCGAGCCAGGAAAACCATAACAATAAACTTCATATTTCCTCATGTCATGTCTCTAGTGATTTGCAAGTTTATCTGTCACTAAAAGGAACACGTAACTCAAAAGGCATGCCCACACACACACACACACACACACACACACACACACACACACACACACACAGGGAGGTGTGGTTCTGCCAACACCTGCGACGTAGTTGCACTTATAGGCATGTGGTACAGAACGTCATACAACTAAGATAGGTATCAAGATTATTACACAGTCTGTGTTTCCTGGCAGAACACATGGCCAACCTCATTTTTACTTTAATAATTACAACCTACATGGATTCTCTTGATAGCACTTACATTATATACACTTATTTTAGGCATTTGAAATCAAACATTCAAAAGTAACGCAATATTCCCCAGGCTTTGTCAGCATTTACTCTGGTATTAATTGCTGAGATGACTAAAAATAGCTGGAAGTCATGTAATCTTTGATACAGGTCTGAGTTTTTGTCCTGACAGACGATATCCAGCTACTGAGGCTCCTTACTGTTACAATTTGTTTCCTGATCCAACCCCCCCGCAGCACCATTTGTCCTACCTCTTTCTCTTCCAACACCATCTTCTCCATATTCACTACAGCACCCTACCCACAAACGGGGAATTTTGCAGGTCTTACAATAACACCTGGAAGCCTTGTGCTTGGTATCACCCTATTATGATACTGGGGAATTCAGTAGCTACATCCAGCGACATAATCCAGCTTTTCCTGTTAAGCAGTTAAAGCATAACAGCTACAACATATGCAATAGTGATGATGCTCTTGTGACAGGTGTCATGCTATAACACTATTAAAAGTAGTAAACGCAGTAGCAGTAGCAAGCCTTATTAAAACACAGGCTTAATGTGTTCAGGCATCGGGTTAGTGACTGTTGCATTTGTATTTCGTGCTGTTTTATTAACACCTCGGTTCATTTAAGCCCTAATGCTGACTTTAGCTCGCTAGCCATTTGGTTAACCACGACAATGCATGAGAAAACCCCATTCTCTAACGTAAAACAGCACAATCTGAGGGTAAGACACAGCATACCAACAATGGGTGGTTCAAATGTCTTCGAAGCTAAACTGAAGAGTGACATATTGTATGGTGCCGCTGCTTACTTTCGCTAGCTAAGCTACCGTTGATAAGAGAGGCGTTAGCTAGCTAGCGGTGCTAACGCTAGCATCTAATATACACGATAAGCAAAGCTTAATAAAAGATGATTGTATTTTCACCCACCGAATGCGAAAAACTCATACTGTAGTTCAATGCAGAGGCGATTGGAGTAGGGACGAACTTTGGGCTTGCTGTCTAACCAGCTGATAGCCCCAACAAGTCACTTTGATATGACACATCAACAAATATGGCCACTGCAGGAGAAATGATGAGGTGATATAAACCAATGAGAGGCCAGTGAGAAATTACGTTAGTGTGACGTCAACAGCCCCCCCCCCCCCCCCCCCCCCCCCCCCCCCCCCCCCCCCCCCCCCCCCACTCCCACCTTTTATTTTATGACAATTTTATGACTTGCAGCCTATAATTAATGCACTGGATGATACAACATTAATGAGCTGGTATATCAGTTTAATACCGATACCAAAACCAAACTTTTCACAAATTATTATTTTGTTCAATTTAAACCTTCAGTGTTTGAATTTGTTTTTAAACATACGATTTGAGTGTTAGGACGTTTGCCTTGATAGAAATTCAGTACAGAATCAACAAAAATATAAATGAAATGAGCCAGTGCGCCAGCTTTTAGTACTTGACTTGACTTGGCTTTGACACCCAGCCCTTTTTTTGGTGCTTTGATAACATATTTTACATATTACGTTTGTACTGGTATCATTGCTTGAGATTATTATGTAATAATACATATTATCTCATATAAGAAAGTAGGCATAGAAATAATTTTAACTAATTGAGGATTGAGGATGTGGCCAAACACTCACTGAGAGACATAGGTCACGACCAAAGGAAGAGGGTCAAATACATGAGCAAAGAGGGTAGATGCTTTAAGCAGGAGTGTGCCATATGTCTGCACTGCAGATGGTTAAAAGGCTCAACCATCCAAAGAGCCTTCTGTGTAAAAATAATTTAATTAACAATGTTTATATTTAGCTCACTTAATACCACAAAGCTTTCTTCCCTGTATTACAGAGGTGTGTTCAACAGATTTAAGACAAATAGTGTTATGGTTGGAAAACAACTACATTATTTCAAGGCAAGAGAACCTTAAAATCTTGAATCTAAATAAAAAAATTGTTATTATATATATCTGTTATTATGATACGACATGTATTGCAACATGCTTGTTATTGACAGCAATTGCTGAATTCTGCCTTTTGATATCTAAAGGTATTTTTTTAGCAGGGAATTGTATATGAATGTTTGTTTAGTGCTCTTTATTATATGTATATTTATATTATATATATCATTTATTCCGAATTTTTAGACTATTATTATTTGTGTTTTGTTGAATAAAACAATGACATAAAAAGAAAAAAGCATTTAGCTGGTGTATGTGGTTTCACGTGACTCACTCAGTGTGACTAAAACAGTGAGCCGGCATCCAAAGAACATGTTACAAACATGAGCCCATATAATACTTTTAAGACACAAGCTCACAAAATTCTTGAAGATAAATGTTCTTTTATTTCCTTCATTACCTTAACTTCAGTGCATTGCTTGCGGTTTTCTTTGGCCTTTATAAGTGTAACAGACAAAAACATTTTCAGCCATTCCTTTATTAATGAAAAATAATTAGCAGTAGAGACAAATAAAACTGAATTCTCTTTCTCTTTGAGACAGTAGTATTTGCGAATTTCATCCTGACCTTCTGACCTGTCTGCAATTGAGGCTATTGCGCATGTGCAACACTTTTACCTGCTCAACCTACACGTGCTCTCAGGTAAAATTTAGACTGTGCAACATAAAACTGTAATATACATATTTATTTGTTTGGGTTCGCATATGTGTGTATGTATATATGTAGTTGCGTGTTGTAGTATAACACTGTGTTTTTGTTGTTGTAAGCTCAAATACCGTCGCTTGTATTAGCTTGCTGAGAGCTAGTTAGCGAGCTAACTTGTCAATTCACCGGAAAGTGTACATAAGGTTAGCTAGCCGTTTGAGCGTTGGTTGACACTTTTTGTGCACCTCTCATGCTCAAGCTAACTCAAGTTGAGAAGCGTCATTCTTATTATGTTGACAGCTGTCGCCATGAACCACTCCTTTTCTCCAAACCTGGTTCGACCTAACCTGCCTTTGAGGAAACCTTCATCAAGCCCTATGGCTGTTGCCACCGCGTCGTCTCCTTCGAGACATCTCATCAGGCCCTTATCATCACCTGTGCTCCCCGCGTCTGGTGCCACTGGAGACGGTAAATCAATGCCATCCTTATCAGAAAAGACAGACACCAACAATTGTTGGACACATAACCTGCCTGTCGTTTTCTCATTTGGACAATTTAACACTGATACAAAACATAACTAAGATTTGAACTTGACAGTATTATCTTCTACATAGTTCATAGACTTTATATTTCAATAGATTAATTTTTCTTTTTTCTACAGGTCTTGTCCAACCACCAATAACCAGGGATAAAGCAGCAGTATGTGTCAAGTTCATCATCAGTTCTGCATCATAAATTGGTGTGACCTGTTGAAATTAAAAGTTTTTTCTCCATGCCATTTTTTTCCTCTGCCCACAGATGTTAGGATCCACACCACCAGCACTGACTGTATACTTCTGCAACTTCTGTGGTCAGCAAGGTAATATTACAATTTAGAAGGGTATGTTAGGGTCCCACAGCAGTGTACCATGGAGTGCCAGTGATATAAGTTTGCATTTGCAACCAAAGGATATTCCCCAGGTGAATTCACAGATGAAAAGACTATGTTGACTGTGTGTCTCTTTTTTTGGGTACCTCAGTATTGTCTTGGCTCTGTGTGTTCAATGGTTGTGTATCTAAGGGATGTGCTGTAGGATGACGCGTATCAATGATATTCATGGCTTATGGCCCTGAAGTCATCAACCTACCTTTAAGCCATAGATAAAATTCAAACTAGCAAGCAAGCATGAGTTAGGTTTTTTCTAAGTGCTGTTTCTGCCTCACTTAAAATTATCCCACATTATTTTAACATTATGGCATTGTCAAGATAATACCTAATTAATTTTTGTATAAATATATATATCATGACATGTTTGGACATAAAAATACTTAAAAACAACTTAAAATGAATACATTCTAAGCTCATGGAAGGCATGTGAACAACATAATCTTTTCTAACTATTGTTATTGCTAGCTATTTTCCTTTAGGTCATGTGTTCTTATCTCAGCAATGGCAAGACGTTTTCTCATGCTTTGTATGTATTGATGGAAAAGGGCTAATGGATGATGATAAATCAGAAGTGGGTCAGAAGTTTGTCAATGATTGAGAAAAATTAATAACTATTTATCACACTTGTACAACAGTTATGTGCATTTAGGAAAAGTGACTGTATAAAATGTTATCACGTCTTGGAGTGTGCTATATTTTGATTTTATCTATGTCCTGATGATTGATTGATTGATTGATAGATCAGAGACTGGTTAAAAATTAAAACTACGACTGCAGAACGGCAGGTGTGTAGAGCTAGATGCAATAATATGCAATATATTTCATGAGTTGTTTTTGTGTCAGCATGTCAGTGAAGTCTAATTTTTTCTGTGTTCACCAACAGGAAATCTTCGGTGCAAGCGCTGCAAGAAGACGCCTTACTGCTCCGTGTTGTGCCAGACAGAAGACTGGATAGCACACAGACATGTGTGCAAATCCCCTGATCCAGAACCTGCAAAGTAAGTTGGTTCAACTCTAGGTTCAATACTAACCACAACCGGTCAGTTTGTACTTAATTAGCAGAGTTGTATCAATAAATGATGTCCAATAAGTAATGCAGTCACTTGTTTCTCTTGATTTAAAGAGAGAAACCAAAGGAAACCACAGTTTTGCCAATGACAGGAGACAGAGCTGGCCAATTGGAGATAAAGGTAATCGCACTGCTTTGAGGTCATGCAAGTAACGTTTTCAAGCTCTGCAGTTGCATGATTTGAAATTATCTAAAAGTACAGTGCTCTTTATCTTTGTTTTACCTCTGTTTGTTGAAGCCTGCAGCAGATACATCCAGCCTCCAAAGGGTCTATTTGAAAGACTTGCAAATAACTAAAATGATTCAGGGAACAGACATCCAGGTACACCCCACCCAGTTTGTCTCAACTGTAAAGACTGAGCTCGTTTCTGTTATTAAGTATTAAAATGCCGAATTTGTTTTTATAATTGTGTTTGGTTTCTAGGCATCCGTTGTAGAGTTATACAGCCCTGGCAGGTTTTTCCTCCTAGCCCAAAGCCCTGAGATGCTAGAAGCTCTGCATGGCATCAGCACAGAGCTTCAGAAAACTTACAGCTGCTCTTCAGCAACAACATACGTACCCTGTGTCGGGGAGGTTTGTGGAGTACAGTTTTCCTGTGATCTGGTGAGCAGAAGCCTTCTCAAGTAATTTAACAAGAGTCACAAGATTTAGTATTCACATTGGCTGAGTCCTTGACTGTGTCACTTGTGTTTGCCTCAATTTTTATGTGTAGAACTGGTACAGAGGCCTGGTCCAAACCTTGTCTGCTGACCAGAAGACTGCTAATATCCTTTATATTGACTTTGGCAATGAAGAGGATGTCCCTGTGGATAGGATTAGACCCCTGGCTGCTAATATCCAGCGATCTTGTCCATGTGTGAGTGCATATTCACACCACTTAAAGTAGTTGTAGCAACATTTTTAGTAGCATTTTCCTAAGCATTTAATGTGGTAATGGTGGGTATCAAAATATTTTTGTCATATGAAAATTAATTATGTACAGTTGGCATGATGACAGTTGCGCTTGAATCTGTTATGTTCAGGCCATGGAGTGCAGTATCGCTGGGGTGGTGCCACTGGATGGCAACTGGACAGGCGAATGCTGTATTGCAGTCAGACAGCTGGTGGCTGGCAAGACTGTGACTGTTAAGCCGATAGAAACACTGGAGAATGGTCGCATCCATGTTGTGGATATCCTGCTTTCCATGGGTAGGTTATATAATATGATCCGTTTGTGATAAGCGTAATTACTGACGGGGATGCACAGGTGAAGGATTAAATTCGGAGTCAATAAATCTCCCTGTTTCTTTTAGGAAAGCAATTGAGCACATTCCTCCTTGAGCATGGTTATGCCACAAAGGAAATAGTCAATGCAACACCGACTAAACAAGAAATACGTAAGTTTAAAAAGCTGGTTTCATATTTACTAGCCCACGCCGTCTCAAATCAGTCTACAGACCAGGGCTCAGACATAAGGAACAGGTAAGAAGTTGTAAGAAGAATCTTCTTGTAACTTGTAAGAAGATTCTCAGTGTCTATTTGATCTGCATCAGGCGCCATGATGAGTGTATCGTTGGAAAATTTTAAGCGTCACTCCAGTGGGAAAGATGACAACATCTGGGCTCAGCCTCCAGAGCCTCTGACACAGGCAGTGGGTGACTCCTTCTCTGTTGTGGTCACCCACTTCCAATCACCCAGTGAAATTATCGTACAGAAGGTGGAAAATGCAGGTAAGCAGGTAATTTTTTTCTGGTGCATTCAACTTAAACCTTTGCAACTCAACATGTGTCTCAAACTTGAGAGCTATTGCTTTACAGGAGTGATTCAGGAGTTGCAGTTGAACCTGAGGGAACACTGCTGTCGTGTCCCAGCCCCCCAGAACTTCAGACCAGCACCTGGTACTGTTTGCTGTTCCAAGTTCTCAGGTACAAAACATATGTACATATTGAAAATAAATCAACCTTGAACATATTGCAGTATGAGAGAGTTGCTGTAATAAGAAAATGCTGAATTGGTTACGCCATCTACCAAAGACGCACTGTATGAGTGCGATAACTAAACAAGTTAATGCATGACAAAACTGTTGACATTTCAACCAGGTTTCAGTTGAATTAAGATTTATATTTGTGTTCCTAGTGTATTCCTTTATAAATCTGTTTTAATGATTTCAAAATGCCTTGAGCCTGCAATGTTCTCTATCTCACCAATTCACAGATTAAATATGAGTGCATTGCCTCTGATTTTAAGACATGTCTACATTCAGCCCTTAAAACATGGTGTCATGCAGTATTATATCAAAATAGTAGTTTCCATTGGTACTACTATACTCTGACCTCTGTGTGTTTCTTCCAGAGGACAAGCAGTGGTACAGGGCCAAAGTTCTGGCTTATTCATCAGAGGAACGCGTCTGTGTTGGCTACCTTGATTTTGGCAACTCCGAAGAGGTGGATTTGGGTCACCTGCGGCCTATCACCACTTCATTACTGGCCCTGCCAATGCAGGCTATGCCTTGTGGTCTAGCAGGTAGTGTCTTAACAGTGCAGAACATTTTTAGCGGTTCAAAAGTTACTAAACTGTTTTTCACTCTGTATTTGATGGCTCTATATTGAGTAACACGCCTGCAGGTTTCAGTTTTGGAAAACATCTTTACCCATACTTTGACATGCCCTTTTTGTAGGGTAAATCTATCTTTAATGCCCCTGAAATTGTTCAAATTTTCAAAAAGGGATATATTTGACTATATTCTACAATAACTGGCTTTGCATACTGCTAGAGACATTGGTGTAAACGTTGTTTGGTAAATTGAAATCCTCCTCTCACCCCCACTCAGATGTTTATTTGGTCTTTTCCAGGGGTGCAGCCTGTTGGGGAGAGGTGGTCAGAAGACTGCCTGTTGGCCCTGCAGCGAAGAGTATCCAACAGAATACTGCGCATTGAGATCCAGGGAGCTCATGAGGGCAAGGCTTTGGTGGCCATGATTGATGAGGGCAGCGACCCTCAGGCCAATGTAGCCGAGCTGCTGATTTCTGCTGATTACGCTGATTACGCTGCTGTTCCTACCAGTAGTGACCAGCAGGTTGACCAGAAAGTAACTCCTGCTGCTGAACCACAAGGTGAGAAGTGTCTGAAGTTAATCTCACAAAGTTTATATTTTGAGGATTTTCTAACTTTGTTTGAAAGCACAATGTATATTTTATGGTTTTGAACTAGTTGGGCCTGTATATGATGCATCTTTATTGTGATGACATGTGCTCTTCAGTGCCTACCCCAGCTGATGAGCCTCTGGTGTGGTCTTTTGCTGAGATTCCCTGTGACGGCCAGACAGTGGCACTGCTAGCCAGCGTGGTGGAGAACCCTGGAGAGTTCTACTGCCGCATTGACAATCCTACAGGTACTGTTGCTTCTGCAGCTTAGAACATTATTGGTTTTTGACAGTTTATTAATCTCAGTATAGGGTATTGAGTGCCGATACAAATACTTATTTTTTCAATATCACCATCGCATTTTAGAGTATGTTAATCTCATTTAATCATCTATATTACAGTTAATCATCAGTGGCGTACAGTATGGCTCCCTTTGTCTTATGTCATATATTTTATGTACACAATCATTCAGATTGTTTGGCCACTAGTGCTGTAGATTGTTACAAGTATTTCATTTGTTGTTGCTCCTCCAGAATGATGCAATAACTTGAAAAGGTATTGGAAATGCTGCAGTATCTATGATATTACACCAAGGTTGTAATCATTTCAGATGTCCACATAGGACTTAATAGTTTTATTTATGTTCTTATTACTTAGATGTGACCTTTTCCTCATGCAACTTGAACAGTTTATTTAATGTGTCTGACTCTGTGTTTATCAGACCATCAGCGGCTGATAGAGCTTGGGGATGAGTTGAAGCAGCATTGTGAGGCAGATAACTCACCTTTTGAGCCCAAAGTGGAAGAGCCCTGTTGTGCCATGTATCCTGGTGAGGTTGTCTACTGTGCTACTAGTTGTGATAAACACTGTCGGCAAGCATGACTTATTGGCATATGCAACTGCATCAATTATATTTTTATTAAAAGTTGTGAAAATAAAGTAGAATTGCTAAAAGATATCATGTATCAAGTGTTTCATCTAGTATGTCAATTGGCTTCTGTTTTGATCGACATAAGATTATTTTCTTGGACCAGATTCTGTTTAGAATGACCTTATTTTTCTTCTATGTTTTTTTAAGATTTGAGGTATATAATGGGCTTTTTGGTCCCCAGGTGATGGAGCGTGGTATCGGGCTTTGGTGAAGGAACTGTGTGAGAACCGGGTGTCTGTAAACATTGTGGACTATGGTTTCAACATGAAAGTAGAAAAGCATCATCTTAGATCCATTACACCCCGACTCCTGACTCTACCCTTTCAGGCAGTTTGCTGCTGGCTCTCGGGTAGTGTGTGTGTGTGTGTATGAGAGAGAGAGAGAGATAGAAGAACGGAGAATTAAAAAGTTTTGAGTAAATATGAAATTGTAAAAAAAATTATTGTTTTCTTATTTAGTAGCCAAAAGACTCTCACAATTTTCTTCATTTCTCACGACATCAAAATGGAGCATTTTTCATATATTCATGTTTTTTTTTTTTTCGTCTGAGAATATTTCTTCTGTGTTGGATTCAGGTGTGGAGCCCCTGGGTTCAGAGTGGAGCAGTGAAGCCCTGCTTTGGTTCCAGGCTCTGGTGGATGGCGAGCAGCTCTCTGCACGTGTCCTTTCTGTCACTAAACAGGGCTATGGTGTGGAGCTGGAGAGCAGAGGGCAGAATGTGGCTGCTGCCCTAATTTCTGAGCAACTAGCCAAAGTTCCTGGGGAGATTCATAAAGAGACGCGTGCAACCACAGGCTCCGCAGCCAAATCCCAAGAGAGCACAAAGGAAAATGAGCACAATCAAATACATGCACAAGACTCCAACCAGACCGGAGCCACTTCCAAAGAGACACCAACTGAATGCCCGACTGCATTGCCATCAGAAGGTCAGCTAGAGCGTCTATCTTCAAGATGAGATGCACGTGGTTGATTTTAGGATCCTGATTGAAATGATGATGTAATCTTTTTTCAGTCCCATCTTTCCCAGTAGACTGGAAGGCAGTGGAGTTGCCTCCCAGTGAGACCTTTAAGCCGTATGTTGCAGCCGTCACTAGTCCTTCCCTCTTCTACGTGCTTGGTCCCAGCCAGGGTAAGAACACCCACTTAGGTCCCTATCTGTCATGAATACATGCACAAATGGTGAAAATTTGATACTCCTTTCTGATGTAGTTGCTGTGTGTTTGTATATAGTAGATCAGCAGAAGCTTCAGGAGTTGATGATGCAGGTGGCTGCCTACTGCAGCAACAACCAGGCCTCTTTATCCTCTGCTGTCCTGAGTAGACCAGTTCCTGGGGCTGCCTGCTGTGCCCAGTTCTCTGGTGACAAACACTTATATTATTCATTAAATATATACATCATAAAAGAATAAGTCCAGAGTTAAAATTTAATCTGTTTGTGCTTTCTATCACATCTTGAGATAAAAATAAGGTGCCTTCCCAAACTGTAATATGAGCCCAATGGTTTTAAATCATTGCCATGACTCCTTAATGCCACTAGATACAGGTAAATTACAAATGGATGACTATGTGAGCAAGTTTCATCCTTAGATGATCTTAAGCAGTGGTTTTACAAGAGATCATCAATAGGAAGTAATAAATGCAACTTAAAATCCAGCAAGCACAAAAGCTGACAATATTGATGTTTGAACATCATACTGAGATATCTAGACTCCAAGGTGGATTAGTTTTCCCAGTACACGGTGGTTTATGAGGAAATTGCATCCAGAGTTTGATAAATACTGTCGGCAGGGGAAAACCCCGTCACCCAGGCAGTGTGATTCCCACACATGAAGAGACCCCATGAGGGCAGACCACCTGAACCATCATTGAGCTGTTTCCACTCAGAGGCCCTCGACACAATCAGTCGCTATAAAATCTCATCTCTCATTCTTCCATCCACTTTTTATGTTTGCTCTCTGGCGATTCTTGAGACCCCACCTGTGGTTGTTGCCCCTGCAGACCTAAACAGGTAATTTGGTGTCTGCTAGTAGATATAATTACACAGCATGTGCTCAGTCGAGCACAGGAGCGGCTCTTCTTTAAACACAGTATACAAGTAAGAGACTATACCTTGGCATACATTCCGCAGCTCAACTAACAACAGGGTTCGATTTAATGGACTTTTCAGTGCTCTTCTGTACAGTCTTAGCTGGTAAGAGCTCAGCAGTTTTTAAGGGCAGCTGTCTCTCTTAAAGGATGCATTTAGGACTTTTTTGGCTCTGTCCTAATGATCAGCAAATACTGATTATTGACAACTTAACGAATTTCCATACAATTTTCCATACAGTTTTTAAGATGTACCCATTTGTAATAAAAAGTTGAATTAATATATTACAGTGATCACGCAGGCACCTTCTGGAGGTTGTGACCTTGTAAACCAATATATTAATTCTAAGCCTCTGTTTGTGCTCAAAAAGAGACCAAAATATTAAACACTTTTTTTTCTTCAGCCGACAATAACTGGTACCGTGCAGTGGTCCTGGAAGTCGGTGAGAATGAGATGAGTGTAGTCTATGCAGATTACTGCAACACTGAAAAGGTGCCATTCTCCCGAATTTTGCCCATCCCCAAACAACTGCTGCAGCTCCCCTTTCAGATCACTCGCTGCACCCTCACTGGTAAGGCAATAGAGCTATTTTTCCGTCTTTCTGAAATGAATTTCAAACTGGGCCACAAGTGCTCTTTGTGATTGCTCTGGGCTGTGGCAATTTACTCCCTGATATACCCCTCTGCTCCTTCTCCATTCCTAGGTAAGGAGCACTTTCCCGCTGAATGGCCAGAGGAAGTGCAGCAGATGTTTCAAACTATCCTGTTGAATGGTGTCCTGGCCACTGTCCAGGCCTTCGATGGCTTTGCTAACATGCTCTCACTCACTCTGCCCACTGAGAAGGGAGGGGGGGACCTCACTGCCATGATAGTGGATTCACTACAGGTCCAGACCAAGAGTAATTCTTGCCCAGCCACCTGCCAGAGGGCTGACCAAACTGATAGCAGCACACCTACTGCCAGCACAACAGCTGCACCTGACTGCCCACAGCCCAAGTCGATACCTGAAACCCAGAAGGAGCTGGAACATGAAACAGCTACCACAGACCTAACCATAACTGAGCCAACACCCTGGACTCCCCATCAGAATAAAAACATTTCTGCAGAGTCTGTCATTGGTTAGTTAAGTCACAATTTCAAAATGTGATTTTAAAAAAAATTGTTTTTATCTATTTATTTATTTATTTTATTTTTATTTGGTTGCAAATTCTTACTGTTTAATACATTCAAGAAAATATCCTGGAAAACCAGGCACTTTTTGATATTGTTACGATCTATGGTATGCATCATATTGCTTTGCTTAAAGAACTGAATTCCCAAAGCAAACAAGTAATTATTTTTTATCATTGATTAATCTAGTAAATGTAAAAAAAATCTATATTACTGTAAATGCTGAAATCAAGCAGCAGCGATATTTTGTCTTTCAGTCGATCCAGTGCAGAAGATTATTGCACAAATGGAGCCACCATGCACAGTTAATGCAGAAACTAAAGGTATGTAAGCTGTAAAGGTAAGAACATGATCTGTAACTGCCCATTTTAAAATGTTATTTAATTATTAATGATCAACCCTCAGGCTTTGTTCTACTACAATTGTTTGACTGTTTCAAGACGGTAGGGTATTTACCTGCCTTTCTATTTGAATCCCAGCTCCTCAGACTTCGCACTGCTGCTGTCTGAGCCTGAAGACTAAGGTCAGCTGGTTTTACAGTTTTTGGAAAGCATCTTTGAACTTGTGTTATTTTATTTGAAAGGGCATTTTTTGGTGTGTGTGTATCTAGGTGTTAATTGCCGACTTGCACATCAATTCTTATGTGAAAGAAGAAATTAAGAAGTGCAAATGGAAAACATCTATAATAGTTTATTCTCTTGCCTTTCACAGATTGATCAACTGGAAAAGCTGATGCAGCTGCAGCTTGCTCTCATCAAGCTGTTAGTTGGACAGTCTAAATAAGATTCACCACATGCATAACTTTACAGTCCTGTTTGCCAACTTGTTGAAATCAAGGTTGCGTTTTTGTTGAAGACACTAAAAATTACCCTCTTGCTTTTAATTTTAATTTTGCGTCTTTATCACTGATACCATGCATTCTTTTCAGGACATTTCTGTTTTTAATCTGTAGTTATATTCCAGTTACCTTTTTTAGGCTTTAATATTTTTGGAGGTTTTCTGAAACCTCATGCATAAAAGTTGGCAGAAATATCAGCAACACAAGATGTTCAACTTCAATTATCCAAGTGTGTATTTGTCTCCTGTAAGCGTGCTGTAGCGCATGCTGTGCTGCCATCTGTTCCTTTGTTCAGTCCTAATCACCTGCTCAGGTGGGATGTTCAGCCTGATTGATTTATGTTTGACATGTGTTTCAGTCTTGACATAAAAGTTCTATGATGAAAAAGACCAAATGAATGGATGAATGGAAGTGATTTTATTTTGACTACACAATTCCTGTGACTTTCCACAGTAAAGCAGAAGCATCCAATGTGAAAACTTAACTTTATGCCTGCAGTTACAGAGTGGACGTGTGAGGATTATTTTTTTCTTCATGGAGAAGATATGTGAGTACAAAGGTAAGAGGAAACATTTATAGTGCGTCCGGGCCCCTCCCTGTCTCCATACTTGCCCTCTGTGGGATAATGAAACGAGGACAAATTAGACGCCACCGGTGCAGGAACATCAGAGGTGGGCATGGCGAGTAGGTGGGGTCGCTGCACTCCTGTGCGGAGAAGAAAGCCAGCAGATCAGACTGGTGCGGAAACAAAGCGGTGTGGAGAAGCGGGGAGGACTGGCCACTGGAAGACGCGCCTTAAGTTCAAGGACAATAAACAGCGTATGGTAAGACGATTTATTTTTTGTTAACATGGAGGAGCGTTTGTTTGGCACGCGTAATGGTGGAGGGCGGAACCTGATGTAATGCAACACGTTTTTGAATGTACAAAAATATATTTTAGTGTTTACCAATGATTGCGACAAAAAAAGCTAACAACGCGGAGACAGGTGGACGTTTTGGAAATTTGCAAAGCAACCAGGCAGTGATGGACTCAAATTCCTGTGTTGAAGTAAATGAGACTATGTCCCCTGCTCTGATGTATATTACAAGAAAATGTCACATTTGAACCTAAACCCTTTTGGTAAATACTACTACTAAGTTCCAGTATATGAATAAAGTTAGTACATCAATTTAGTTGTAGTACAAACCACAGGTAACGAGACGACTGCAGTGAACTTAAAAGTAATTAAATGCATTTCTTGAATTCCATCTACCTACTTACTACCTAAGTGGGTTGACTCCATCAATTTGTTTGACTTCTTGAGTAAACCCTGGCTCCTGTTGCATGTCAGGGTCATCACCTCTGGCCTCATCTGAAACCTGCCTTGCCCCTTGACACATTTAAGAGTAACCAGATGCTGACAGGGTTGACTAGAAGTTAACCTGCAAGGAAACTTAAATAGATTTTTCTGGTAATTTCATCCTGAAATTATAGCTCATGTTTACCTGTTGTAAGAGCATGACTGTATGTGTCTTTGTCCTCAGTACCTGAACACAAGTCAAAATTTGTGGTGTTAAAAATCAATCATGAAGACAGGGAGCTTTTAATAGGTTATTGATCAACTTAGGATGAACCACCACCTTAAGTTGTTGTGAAGTTTTAGATTTGGTTTTTAATTCAGTTTCCTTTTGGTTTGTGATGTGTAATAACCCACTGGAGAATAGGGCTTTACATCGTCTGTGTGTGTGGTTGCCAGCTCGTTCTTGCAACACATTCCCATGCTTAAATGCATACCAACGCTTTGTGAATTATAGTCAGTTGTGGCTTTTAATCAGAGCGTTGTCTCCTTTGTGGTGGAAAAAAAAAGTTTCCACATTTGTTCTTCTGTTGTTTTAAAAGTGGCAATTTGAGGTGACTCATTCTGAAATAATTTAAACTGTAAGGATGTTACTCAAAGTGACACACCTCCAAGTACAGGTTTGGAGATTTTGTATGAAGTTAGTTCAAAAGCTAGCACTCTTTTCTAATTACAGACTACACAGTGGAGGCACTTTCCAACCAGCCAACCAATTCAAAACAGGCAGCAAATTCATGGTTGAGGCCTTCTTTTTTTTTTTTTTTTTTAATGGTTACATTTTCAGGCATGCCCCCAATTTAGTCTAATTTTTAGTTTAAAGTCAGAATTCATTTTACCTAATAAAAATGCCCCTACCCTGTTACAATTGTCATTTACAATTATGATTTTCAATGACATGTTTCGGATACCGATGGCAAGATAAGAACATGAAGTGCTTTTGATATAAACACCATGTGCAGATAGATGACCTGAAAGTTTGTCTGTAGAAGTCATTCAGCGTGGCTGGAATGAAGCTTCCAGTGTAGCCAGAGCAGAAAGATGTTCACTGACAGCAGGGAAGTGGGAAGACAGAAAGATGAGGGGTGGAGGGATCCAGAAGAATGCTTGTGAAGAGGCAGCCAACTTCGGGACAGGTGTGTGATGTGCACGTGTGTGTGTGTGTGTGTGTATATATATATATATATATATATGTGTGTGTGTTTTATTTGGAGGCATGCATGACTGCTTTCTCCTCCAAGCGCGTGTGGGTGTGCAGTGCAGACATTCAAAGCTACCCCCCACCCCCGGCAGTAATGAAATCTCTTGTCCTCAAGGCGTACCAGCGAGTGTGCAAATACAGCATCAATAGCCCCTGGTGATGTGTATCAGCCCGGGGCTTCTCAGACAGTCGCTGCATGTCAGCTCTGCAGATCTGTATCACAGACACACAGACTCCTCTTAAAGCAAGGCTCCCTCCTGCACACAATTCTATCTCTGTCTCAGAAATACACATGGCCTCACCTATAAGGAGGCTTTATCTGGCACATCCGTCCTCATTGACCACCCCAATGCGCACACAAACACACACACAGGCAGGATATTATGGCCAAGCTTATCAGCAGCCAGAGTTAATCAAACTTTATCTGCAGCCCCTCAACTTCTTATGTTCACCCAACAATGAACATACAGAATAAGGCAGGTGGGATTTTTAATCCTTGATTTAGATGCATGCTAGGCAAGTGGAGTACATTATAATGTGAAGTTATCATATGCACTCAACAGTTTATTTGGTGTACTGGTATAATCAAATGCAGTCACTTCTAACAGCCCTGCTTTGTGAAGCCAGTCATTTTTTTTTAATTTTTTTTTTTTAAAGCTTTTGTTGACACTGTCACAACAAAACCTCTGTGACCTTAACAACATGTGGTGACACCTAGAAAGTGGGCTGTGTACTCATGGTGACATCTTCATAATTTGTCCACATGCCTTTGCAATATTAAGCCTCGTCCTGGCAACCCGCTCCCCGGGGCAACACGCTGATGATTACACAGATAGATGTTGGGGACAAACTCTCAAACACACGCTCACATACACAGCCCTCAATGCATACTCGCGGTTTAACACACTCCTGTTAGAAACAACCTTTCTTAGGCTTCCTCACTGCACACGCATCAAATGCGCATAATGTCTTCGTGTTGCTTTGAGAAATTCAGTTAGAGTTTATTGTAAACTTAACATTGATCCACGTGCTGGTGTCAAGTCAGTGAGGTGTTGGTGCGTCTGTGGACACCTTTTGTGTAGTGAAGAGTGTTTTGGTACACGCCAAACTCCTGGAGGCTGTCATTTGACCCTGTTGAAAGGTCGCCCTACCCTTAGCTGAGAAAACATGGCAAGTTACAATTTTTGCCACTTGACTTACCTGTTCAGGAGGTAAATGTGGCCTGTGGCTAGTATCTGTCTTCATTGATTGTCTAGTAGGACGACACTAAATACACTTCACCTCTCCCCTGTCCTCTTAGCCTCCTTCAATTCAATGTGATTGCTAGGCTCTCTGTAGAAATAATGCAAAAACAAGCATGCAAAATGTATGTACAGTACTTCAAACTTGTTGGCTTCTGAATGCTCCTATCTCACTTCCTTTTTTTTTTTTTCTTTTTTTTTCCTATAACACTTAAATCTCCCACAATCCCTCCTCTGCTGGTTGTTGTGTTTTGTTCTGTATTCTCTCTAAGTTTATGCCTTTGTTTATCATTCCAGGTGTCCCAACATGCACCCTGATATCCATCTCTCGCTCCTCTTAACACTGCTGCTTCTTCAAGGTTGGTTGATTGGTTTTTATTACTGTTTTTTCATTCAGTTAAAGTGGAGGAGTGTCTTCTGTGCTTCTCTGGTATTTGGAGCCTTTTAGATTAAGGACACTTTAAAGTACTGGGTTGGAATGTTTTTAATCCCTCTTCATTACTAACGTTTGGCCGTTTGAAATCATTTGGAAAGTACAGCAAATATAGAAAATGTGACAATACACACAACCTGTTCAAGCCTAGCTGAGAAAACCCTGTTATGCAGTTACACCTTTTTTACATCGACATTTGGACATTCATTTTTTTTGTTTGCACAATTTATCTATAGAAAATAGTTCCACATTCTGTTTTTTAACAATTTGATGAGAAAATAGATGCTCATTTTTCTTCACGGTAAATATCATTGTACAGCCAGAAGCCAGTTAGCTTATCTTACCATGAAGACTGAAAACGGTGGGAAACAGCCTGGGAAGCCATGTGTTTATGAACCTCAGCGCTTAAAATGGGCCATTTCACAGTTAGTGTTTGACTAAAGTTGAGATAAATGTTAACATTAGGCATGTAGTGACAGGTGTAAGTGTTTGCGGGAGAAAGAATGAAGTCAGTGTAATAAAAATCACAACTACAGTGAGCATATTCGTGCACAGCATGGTGGGAAATGTAAGATCCTTCACTGATGCTCAGCCTGAGATCCTTTTTTACAAGATATTTTACGGTGAAAACCTGTCAAGTCCCCAGTGCTGAAGAATTCCCATTATCTTCTCTTCAAAGTGATTTCCTGCCTCCTGTGCTCAAAATGCTGTTTCGTTTCCAGGCAAGTCAAATTTT